GATAAGGGAAAACCGACGTGTTTTCCCTTCTGTCTGTTAGGGCTGCATCCTGGTGTTTGCCAGTGATCTTTTTGAGCACGAGCGCCTTAGCGCTTAAAAATCTCTGATACTCTCGGGGAAACTACACATATCAGGTTTCGGTCAAACCGTACATTTATATACGTCATTCCTTCATGGAATTTGCACATTGCTCAGCACTTGCGCACTTTGTAAGTCATGTAGCTCTCCTGGGTAGCAAACAACTAATAAAGTGTTGATGCAGTGGTAGCACTTGCTAGTAGTCAGGGTATGCAGGCCGATGTATAGCACAGCTACTCTCTCAGTTACACATACATAATTCTTCTGAAAGATCGTGAATGGGTGCTTTGCTTTATGGAGTATAAAATCAGATGGTTCAAGATGGGCAAACTAACTGAAATCCTCAGAGCGTAAACTAATGTTTTCAGACAAAGTGGCAACAACCTGAAGCATCGGCTGCAATTATTTGCTATTGCCCGCCCGTCGAAACGGTTGCACAGGCTGTTCTGTAGGGTCACAGACGATGACAGGAGGGTAAAGTACAGTGAACAACATTTTGCAAGATACTCTGTGCAACTTTGGTCCCGCTGAAGTTGGTATTCCCTCTCAGGCACCCCGTATATCTCTCCGGTTATTTCAGACAGATGAACTGAATAGATTGTTTTGCCAGGAGTAAAGTACCAATTTATATGAGTAGAGGGACGCTAAATGCTCTAGACAGCAGGAACTTGCACGCCGGTGGGTCCTACAGTTCATAAACGCAATTTTAGATTGAGTGAGAAAAACTATTCACTCACCCTCGCTAGCTGTGCAGTTCAGTTAGAACTGTTCACCACGAGATTCTACGAGGAAGTACTAGGAGTATATTGCCCGCCTTTTAACTTCTAAGCAAGATGCACAATTAATCGACAAGATATTTTGTCTGAAAGAAAGAAGCCAATGCGAGTTAATTAAGAGGCAGAGGTCATTTCCAGTGGGTTGTTTTCTGGGTATTTCATCTTCTCATTTTCTATGTTTGCAATAAATAGTAGGTTGCTATATTATTAGAGGTTCTGACAAACTTCGGCAGTCTGTTTTAGCTAACTACGGTTTTCAATATAGGTTTTTGTACTGAAAGCCAAACTTCGGCTTGAAAAGGCGCAGTAAAAGGAGATATTTGATGTACAATTCTTGCCGACAGCTCTATAGCGGAAATGTGGTGATGATCGCTCTCATTTACCGTACGATAATTGTTTCAAGGGTTCAGCTGGCGAATGCCGTCCAATATGTTGTTCTTCCTGCCCTTTTTAGCTTTTCCGCCATGCAATCCGGCCAAATAAAACAAGGCGTTTGACTCCTATGGATTTGCATGTAAAGTAATACAGTGCGGCCCTCCGTGTTGGATGATCCGAACTGTCACAAAGTTACTCTGACAAGAAACCATTTGCTAAGTACGTAACACTTGTTCAATTCAAATACACGCCGATACTATAAAAGTCTCCCTTGACTCCCGAAGACATCTAGTAACCGTGAGGCACCTGTCTGCGCCAGTCTTATCCGGCATCATATTGCTTCCTTCTCGCTAAGTAGATGTTTAAATCACAACACCTGAGAATGTCGAAGCTTTGAACCCGGTTTAACATACCGCTATGGGTCATCGGAAAAATCCAGTCAAAAAGATGAAAATGTTTGAGAAAATGGCAGCTGTCTTGCTAATCAAACTCTTATATACCTAGATTGATAAGTTTGAGGAGAGAAAATTTTAAAATGCGAATGAAGTTCTTCGTCATTATTATGGAAGTCGGGAACTAGTGTAATACTAGCCATCTTCAATATCATGTTCGAGCCCTACAGTAGTCAAGATACAGAAACCTACCCGAATAATGGGGTTCTTATCAAACTGTGTGTTAGGCCTCGAGTGCGTATGTTACCCCGTTTCTAGTAAAATCGTTAAAGTACCTTAACTGGTGCACATAAATTAAAAGACGAAACTAATTCTGAAATTGCAATTTAACCAACAGTTTTATTTTTGTTTAGGGTAAGTGTGGAGAATCTTTGTAATGAAAAAATCACAGGGATTGCCATTCATGAAGGGGTCCTTAGGCAAGAGAGCGATTAGTGTATTCGGAGTTCGTTAGCGTTCACGAACATATAGGACGTGCATTTCTTCTGTCAGAAAAAAAGAACGAACTAGTTAGCGTAATTCCCAGACAGACATTTTACCTTACTTTCTTAACCCTCCAGTTGTAGTACACTGGGACTCAAAACAAAAATTACCTACCTTTAGAAAGAGCTCGGATGTTCGATTTTTGGAGGTTCAACTCGTGCCGATGGCAATGTCTTAAAAGTCGCATTACTCGTACTTCAAGCAAGACTCCTCGTTTAAAGTATACCACATTAAGAGGAGAATTGCTCAAGGCGATTCGTTGTGCCCCTTCATCCTCTCCAAGCCCTCGCTTCAGGAACGAAGCGTTCAACAGTGGCATTTCACACGTGATATGCGTAGGCGGGCATTGCCAGTCCAAAGTGCGTAAGAAATGGACGGGGACAGCTTGTGATTTGACTGTAGTTAATGACGTAGTAATGTCTGCGACTGATTAATTTCATTACTCCGCAAACAGCCGTGCCACACTGACGAGCGAGTGCACCAATTCACGCAGTTGGCTATTCCTAACTGCATTTTTTGACTGCCCAGTGTCCAGAGACGATGTTAAAGGCCCGTTTCCAGCCCCCTGCCCCACCGTTTGCTGATCCACAGCTCTCATTCACTTTTAGGACTGGCATCTTGACCGACCCACCCTTTTACCCTAAACTCTCACGTGCGCACGGCCAAGTAAGCACATCACTTCAGCCAGGAGGGAGGGGAGGTTGTTTGTGTTTGCTTTGTGCAAGGCACCACTGCAGAATTCGGGATCCCAGAGGCAGAGGGGGGGGGGAGAGCGGACAGGCAGGAAGACGCTGTCTGTGGCGGCCGATTCTAAAAGCACCGTCTATTAGCACCGACCACCCACGAAGTTAGGCACAACAGCTTCAAAGCTGCGGACCCAGCAACAGCAGCGGCAGCAACAGCAGAGTGCAAGTGGGCGGTCTCGGGTTGGGAGGGCGGCGGAAAGGCAGCGCAAGTCAGCGTCCTGCCGCCTGTAGACCCGTTACAGACGCTGCGCGCTGCGCAGGACGCTCGCTTAGTGGATTGGCCAGTGGTTATATTCTCGTCTTCTTAGCTCGAGGTTGGAGATGCATGCGCGCCTGCCATAGTGGTAGCGACTGTTGGTGACCATACAACGCCCTGCTTGTGCGCGTACGTAAATGAGGCGAATTACAGCACAGCTTGCGTGTAATTTAAATACTGCTGCCGGTATTACTACTAGGATTACAGCTGCTGCCCCTAATGCCCGTTCTTCGTCGACACTGCCAGCGTACCTCTCCGGCTGCGGGTGGCCGCCGGTAATGGCTTGCGTATGCACGCACGAGTAGCCAAACAGGCGGAGAGAGGACCACCAGGGGCGTAGGCATGAACCGCAAAGGCCCACACACAAAGGCTGTTGGGCTCAGGTAGTAGTCCTGTTTGTCCGTTGAACAGATGTCTGTAACTATGCTGCCAAAAGACCTCTGCGCCCACACATACACACCCGACAGTCCAATAATAGCAAGAGACGACCTCCACCGCGTGTCCCATGTGCGATGTTCAGCGGTGACTCGGGCGTGAAGTAGTTTGCAGTGATGTAGACTTGAATAGTACCTGCCCTACTCTCTCCTACTCCACCCACCTCGCTCTGACGGCGAGACAATGTCAAGACGATCAGGGGGGGACGTGAGCGCAGTGAGTAACACAGTCAACCACGCGTGGCACGTACGACCTGTTCCCACCCCAGACTCACCAGCCTACCGTGAGTACGGTTTAGATTTCGGAATACGATACGGGTTCTAAACAGCAGGAGTCATCGCAGTCTGACCACCAATCCTGAGATGGACCGAGTTATCCCGTCATTTCGCAACCATCCAGGACACGACTCTTAATGCGTCGTGGTAGAGTTAAGTGGGTCAGATTTATTATAGTGATGGGTGCACTTATTTGTCATGGCGATTGATTCCCACATGTCGACCTCCCTCTGTTTTTGCTCTCCCGTGCACTAGTCTACCGTCCGAGCCTGTCAAGCAGCTCTTTTTGCGATTGTGCCCAGTGATCGAAAAAGCTAAACAGTCCGTCTACGTGTAACATACGCGACCTCGTTCCCACTTTATGCATCAGGCTGTTCCGGAGGACTTGCTTCCCACTTATGGGAGATGCGCATGTTCTCATACGTGATGTTTTGTCCTTCGTATTGGCGACGGCTAAATGGATAGCATGCCTGCTGAAGAAGAAAGAGGCATGGTGTTAAGTAGGTGAAATGCATTCCGCGTTGTCGCGTGTGTTCATATGTAGCGAAGGGCTGCGTGTATGTGTGTGTGCGTGTGTGTATGGGGTGTAGGGGTGTCCAGCGGTGGTTTCACGTGACGGTCGTAGTAGGTCGCTCACTTGCTTGCAGATGCAGATTAAACCTAGCGTTTATTTGTTGGCATCCAACTTTCAACTGTGGCTCCCCGATGCTAGGCTCTGCGTAGCGGCCACATCCTGGTAACCGCCTCGTCCAGCGGGCTAAACCAGGTGAGAATATCCGCCTGGCACACCGCAGGAGGCCACAAGCTTACGACGATGTCGTACGCTCTCCAGGCAATTCGGGTCCTTCATCCACTACACCAAAGACGCGGCCCATAGTGGAGTTCGGCAGCACCTGACACTACTGAACAGCCCTGTTTAGGGTGGCACTGTTCACTCCGCGGGGAAAGGAGCTAGGAAAGGTGCCCTAAACAAGTGCTTGGGAACCGCGCCGTCTGCACACTGACCGTGGCCGCAGACGTTAAACTCACGGTCGAAACAACCAATAAAGAAACAGCAACAACACACCCTTCTCGTCCTCCTCCTCCTCCTCCTCCTCCTCCTCCTCCTCCTCCTCCCCCTCCTCCTCCTCCTTCTTATTCTTCCTCTCCTCCCCGCCGCCTCACTCGCCAGACTGGTATGGTGGGTCTGCTCACTCTAGCAGTCTGGAGTGTTAGTTCCCTTCTAGACAATCCGAGGAGCAACCGACCGTAACGTAGGACGGCGCTAGTGGCTCTGGAACTGGCGCGCTACAAAGTGGACATCGTCGCATTCCGAACAAGGCCAACTAGAGGAGGTGGGCGCCGGATATATCTTCTTCCGGAGCGGTCTCCCCAAGGCAGAACGACGGGACGTGGGCGTCGCCTTTGCCATTCGGAACAACATCGCGGGACGACTGTTCTGTCTGCCGCACGGCATCAGCGATCGCCTGATGAGCCTCTCCAAGGAGGCAAATTTGCCCCGTCGCCAGCGTCTACCTTTCCCCGGTGATCAGCCTTGATGCTGCAAAGAAAAAATTCTACGAGGACCTGCATGCCTTCCTGGAGACTGTGCCGAAGGCGGATTAGTTGATTGTCCTCGGTAACTTCAACGCCTGCGTCTACACAGACCATGCTGCCTGAAGAGGAGTACTGGGTCCATATGGTCTCGATGGATCCGATGACAATGGCCTACTCCTCCTAGGAACCTGCGCAGAACAGTGCCTCATCCTCACCAACACCTTCAGCCTTCCGACGCGAGATAAAGCCACCTGGACGCATCCTCGGCCGCGACACTGGCACTTGCTGGACTAGGTTCTTGTCTAGAGGCGAGACCAGCGGGATGCGCTGGTGACAAAGGCGATCCCGGGTGCCGACAAGTGGATCGACCATCGTCGCGTCATCTCCAAGAAGAGGATTCGCCTACAACCTCGCAGGAGACCTCAAAGTAAACGACCCCCAAGTAAG